GAGTGTTGTCTTCTTGAAGTATTGTTTGTCTCTGAGATTTACAAAGCAAGTTCCTCAGCGATCACTGAACATACTCAGTGTCTGATCGCTGGAACTGAAAMTAYAGAAASAAAATTACATYGATAGATTAAAAGGGATTATCATCAAATCACTCTGAGAGATGATCAACAATTACCTTCTAATATTAACTAGTATACAATCAAATGACCATTACCTTACTTATTAAAATTAAAGAAAAAAATGAAATTTTCTTATTGATCGAAAATGGTTTGCATAGTTTTCATGAATTGAACAGTTTGTAACGTAACCTGTCTCTCTCTCTATAGAAGAAGAAATGGAAATGGAAATGGAAAAGAGAGAGAAATGGAGTTTGGTATCTCCAACAAAAACGGTGGGCGGGAGACTAGATATTTAGCACCATCAAAACGTGTACCCATGTATTTACCGGCCCCTACCCTATAAAGATTTTAATTTCGCTAAAAAATGATTTTCGCTGTTTTTGCTTGTATCGATATCGGTGTTTCGTGCGTTGTGACTTAAGGCTTGTGTTTTACGTCACGTTAAGTCTATGATATGGCATGGCCTGATGTGCAATTTTTGTAACTTAATGTTTGATTTTGCTTACTTTTTTTAATGTCTTATCTGTTAGTTTTTAATGTATAATCTAATTTAAATTATTTAATATCATTGACTTATTGAGTGATAGTAGAATATATATATATATATATATATGTTTATATATACAATAATTTCTATGTTATAAAGATTTTATGTCATAAGTCATATCTTGAAAAACACCACGGCCTTGCCGTGGCTTCTGAAATTTAAGGTTTGACCTCACCGTTAAACGACGTCTCACGATCATTTAGAACCTTGATTCATACCAGTTGTATTCGTGAAGTGTAAACGCATATTTCACTACAATTTATTCTTATTTTAAAGTAACGATCTTTATTTTGGTATTTAGGATATGTGCTCTTAAATATTTAGGTAGTCTTTGATTGGAATATCTTATAATTAGAATATGTCAAAGAAATTGTAATTTGCAAGAAACTGCAATTGAATTTAATGAGAGTTAATCATGTGTTTGGTTAGCAAGAATTTTAATGAATCTGTCAAAATAATTGAACTTTATTTATTTGGTTCTCTAAATATTAATTTCAGAATTATAATAAAATAGTGATAAATTATCAAAATACACATTCATGAT